TATGTCTTTGTTCAATTGTTAATATGACTTTTACTGTTTGATCTGTTTTATGTGATATCTATTTGACGTGGCTCGGTACTTATACATCCCGTCAATGTGTTTGTATTATCTTTCATTTTTGCTGATGTGTTTTGTATATGCGACTTTTTGTGGTTCTTTGTTTTTATAACGTAACTCTGTACTTTTAAAGATCCCGGCATTATGTTATTGTTCTATTATATGTCATTATGTTATTGTTCCATTATAAAATTGATACTTTGAACGACAAAATTATTCCATTTGCGTAGTAGTATTAACCGGTAAACGGAAAAAAAGTCACAAAATCCCTAGGAAAAAAGTCAAAAGAAAAAAAGTCAGTCACATGAAAAAAAGTCACAATATGTTTAAGTAAAATTATTTATCAGAAGTATGTTGGAATGCACATGAAAAAGTCACTATGTACATGTATGCAATAAATAATTAAACTGGAGTTTTTGAATGCATAGAAAAAAGTCATAATATACTTGTATCAGATTACTTATCTTTATAGTGGTAAATTTTTAATTTTTAAAAACCATTAAGGAATTATATATAAATTAATAAAAGCGTAATAGAATATGTACTTTTTTTCAAAATTGACTTTTTAACAAACAGGGAAAGCTGATTGTTTCCTTTTATTTAATATTGAGCATAAGTTGTATTTCATTGGTATGGCTTCCTACGAAGACAGGAAGTGAAAGGTCTACAAAAGGGTGAAGGTGCCACAAGAAGCCACACATCAATATCAACAGTCCCTATAAATACTAAGCTATTATTAATGGCAATGTTTGTTTAACACTAAATTGAAGGATACTTATCTTCAAAAATCAAAATAACATGTGGTCAAGTCATATACTGAACTTCTAACTTGAAATCAAATTGAAGGAAATTGTTGCTGTTTAACTCACATATCTTTCATAAGAGATATAAAACAAAAATAATTACAACAAATCCTTGAAAACATGTAACAATAGTACACCAGGGGGGGGCTAGGATGCAAAATTTTGTCCTGCATTTTTTTAGCTGTAATCTCTGTTCTGCCTTTTCATTTTTCACTCTATTCGGTCCTGCCTTTTTTTTTTTTTTAGTTTATCCTGACTTTTTTTACCTAAATTGTCGTCCTGACCCTTTTTTTGCAAGTGTCTCATCCTGCCCTTTTTTTATTCAAAACTCCTGTCCTGCCTATTTGTTTCAAATTTCATCCTACTTAATACTTAAATTGTATTCCTCAGATAAGGAAATACACAAATCCATTGCGAATTTGAATCAGATTTCTCTTTGAATGTGAAATTTGTTCCATGGAAACAATCAACCCTTCTTACCTGGTCCAGTTTGAATACTAAAGATCGATTGTTGAAATCGATTAAAAAGACCAAATAAACACTCATTCAAGACTGAAAGTAATTAACCTGCTGAAATGTTTAAAAGCAGCTTGTAAGAATTTTTAGAAAATTTTGCAAGTCTTGAAAAATAAGATGTATCAATTTTAATTGCATTTTCAAAAGCTACTAAACATAGTAATACAAATATTTGAACAGTATTAATTCCACTACCTGCATCTTCCAAATTCATGAGACATAACTGGAAAATAGCAATCCCTATTATTCTTTTCCAAATGTCTTGCTGTTTATGACTAGTTCTGTATAATATGTGACAGCATCTGATAAATCAGGTTGAACTTTAAGTGTTATAGCTAGAGTACAGGTGTTCACAAATGTGGATTCTCCAAATTCAATGTCAATAGGTTTGTGAAAACCTATTGCTGGTATTACACTTGATCCACTTAGCCACATTAAGACATCTTTGTATCAACTTTTATGCCATTTACTACTGTAGCTGTTCCTAGAAAAAAGTAAAATATAGTATAGTGAGCGTAGGTGTTTATACTAAGGCTAATGAAAGTTGGTTGGTTCTCAGGGCATTTTGTTTTTATGAAAATCAAATAGGTCTCAATTGACACAATTCATGATCAAAACATTTAGCAAAAGGAAGAAAGGCTATAGAATTCTTGGACGTAATGACGGTAAGTCTGGTTTATTTTAAAATCTTCTTTTCTAACTATAGAATAGCATATATGACTTTAATATTCAAACTAACTATAATTAAGTGGTCAGGTAATTAAATGACAGTAACTGGTCCTCGTAACCATAAACATGTTGACATAAAATAGATGCACTATGGATTTAATTCTTGAAAATGTTACAATTATAAATATCTCGGAACACCCTATTCATATTGATATTATTTCTTCCACTTAAGATTCACTACCTTTTACATTAATTTTGGGCAACAAACCATTTGTGGCCTGGAGAAAGGTTAAAAAATTCATGTCCAGTAGCTTTTTGGTCTTTTTCTTTATTCCCTGGTCCATCATGGAATCTCAAAAGTTTCCTAATTTTGGATCCTCAATGCTCTTCATCTTTGTACTTGTTTGGCTTCATGACTATTTTGATATGAGCGTCACTGATGAGTTTTATGTAGACGAAACGCCCGTCTGGCGTACTAAATTATAATCCTGGTACCTTTGATAAATATTTCCTAAGTGTTGCAACTGTTACAAGTTTTATCCTGCCATTTAGTAAAACTCTTGAGGAGGCAATATAAGAGTCCTGCCTCAAAAGTCCCAATACCTGATGAAGTTCCAATCCTGTTAAAAAAAAAAAATGTAAAATTAAAGAACAAAAGTTCCAATATCCCCCGCGTTGCACATATTTTATATGTCCAAGGGTTCTTTAAACCTTTTTATAAATATCTTAGAGAAATAGAGAGCAAATACAATACAATTTCCAATATAATTAATAATTCTTTTAAAAATATTTGATCGACACTGCTTTTCGAATTGTCCGAGACATTGCTGATATAAATCTATGATATAAATTTGATAAAAATCTGGCAAAACATGTATTCGTGCGATTACTTACAATGCAATTTTCCAAATAATTAATATTTCCAAGGGGCAAAACTCTTGTGAAAATAATTGATCGGCACTGATTTTCGAACTTTTCATAAAGTTTCATAAAAATCTGGCAAGAATTGTACACATGAGTGCTAACAATGCAATTTCCCATATAATTAATATTATAATATTATATTATAATACTGATATAAACCTATGATATAAGATTCATACAAATCTGACAAGAATTGTACACGTGAGAGCGCTAACAATACCGGACAGACAGACGCACGCACGGACAACCGGTATTTCTAAGTCCCCACAACGCATTGCGCAGGGAACAAAAAGAAAAGTTCATTTTCATTGTGTATGTGAAAATGTTGCCTAATTTATATTGTATAGTTGGAAAATATCTCAAATAGTGACTAAATGACATGTTAATTTTGTAGTTCACCATTTTGGGGTACCCTGAGAAACTTGACCACTATTGAAAGGACAAATCAGTAATGAGAATCAGGCTAAAATAAACGATCCCTACTTTGTATCAGGTGTTTCACACATCTGAATTTTCAGTAAAGATAGAGGTGTAAATCCACTTGAAATTGGAACAATACAGGTCTGGTTTCATAAGAAAAAAATATTCATAGAAAACTAAACTTTGTAATTGTTGCAAGGCAATAAAAAATTATCATTACATTAAATTACCGCGATTTCTTAGTGAAATAAAAATTGACAATCTCACTCCTCGGACATCATATAACAATGGGTGACTTCAAGACGATGTAGAAAACCTAGAATTAGAACAGATTGAGAATGCATGATAGAAATGTAGTTCCTTGCATTTTCTATTATATTTCCAGAGCTTTTATAAAATGAAAAGTTTGATCAACTTGCTTGCTTCCTTTCTCGGTAGTTTGCTTATGCATTGTCATCAAGATTGACACATGGAAACAATGGACAGGTGGAGTCAGTTTCAGTCTTTTAACAATTTGTTTGGATATTTGGTTACATTCATTGTCCAATAAAATCTTTGTTTTATTGCAAATCCCATCATCATTTATTGTCCTCAGATGTCAATCGTAATTGCAAGGCATGAGCAATCATCCGTTTAGAAACTTGGCAAGCAAATCATGCAAATTTTGTAAAAGCATGGTTTTGTATTAATGCTCTAGGATATGGAAATAGTAATATTTTCATTCATCTCTGTTTTGCGGGGAGGTAGCACATCAGATAGATACTTTACAGAGCACAATGGATTTCTTGATTTAATTCAACCTGGTGAAGAAATTATGGCTGATCGAGGATTTACTATTCGTGATTTATTGACTGATCAAAGGACATCTTTAGTGAGTCCTCCGTTTACAAAGAAATGTGAACGCAAAATAACTCTATAACTTTATTATTAGATTGTAGAGTGTAGCATTCTTTTTTACACTAGACTTGTAGACTGACAGCCAGAACATTACAATTTAATATTACTATGCATATATATTTACATTCATACCTTACAAATTTAGATTCTCCTAATACACACTTATAGGACAAGCCCTGGATTGGTTTTATCTGTACTGGAGAACTATGACATTAATTACTGTTATAAATAATTGCTTAATGAATTCTGTAAACAATTTATGGTCAGTGGCACAGTGGGATACCTTGTAGATAAAGTTAAGATTATCTACTGATTATATGACAAACACATGTTGAAAGTGATGAACACATTTATAAGCAAATATGTATATACAGGTCAATATTTAAAAGTAACATAACTTCAAATATAATTTTTTGTAGAAAAGATATCATTATATTAAATAATGTTTATTTAAAATTTAACTTCTTAAATATCACTTTTCCAAATTGTATATTACTATATACTACAATGTACATTTGATTTTTCACAAACATGTCTCTTTTCAAACACACAAAAACATGTTTAGTTACATTTCATTAATAATTATGTAAACAAAGATAAAAAATTGATTTCTCTCTATTATTTTCCTAATTTTATGCTTACACAAATATACATGAAGACTATTAGAAATGATCTATCAACACTAGTTAAAAAAAAAACTGTTTGAAAGCTTGAAATATTACAAATAATTTTGCTAAAATTTTGTTATAAATATAAATAAATCAAATACTGCAATCATTAATAAAATGCTAATGATTTGATATTTTAATTGATGTTGTCTCTGATTCAAAGTTCATAATGAAGTGTATCTTCCTTTGAAAATCACACATCTTTCTTTTGTAGTTTCATTTTTCTGAAAATAAAAACCAAAATATCTATATATACACATTTTGTATCGCATAAGGAATAAATCATATAAATGTTAAAAAGTAAAAACAGGTATAAGTATTCCAGGGGCATATTTAGGATTCTATGGGGGAAAAAGGGGGGCATTTGTACATAATGGTACAAAATTACTGTCAAGTATAATTTATGAATGCATACCCCAAAAAGAATATTTTTTCTTATAAAAAGGGGGCATATGTAGATATTAGTGTCTGTCTATAATTGTATAGTATGCATGTCTGAGAATTTTTTTTCAGTCCGTATGGATTAGTATTTTTTTAAACCAATATTCTACAGATTTTTTTTTGTGTACACCAGCTATCACTGTTTGTTATCCCATCTTATGTCCATGTTTTATTAATAAAACTCTAATATATAAACATATTAAGTAAAAAAAAAATAAGACATTCTTTAATACTTACATGGGAGTTGACATAATCGGCTTTTTCTTTATTTGCTCTGGCTTCACTGGTGTTGATTCAATGGACCTGACTCTTTTTGTTTTCTTTTCCCTTTTTCTAGAAATAGAAGCAGCATCAATCAGTCTTTTTAGTTCGTCATCTTGAATGGTGAAGGTAGTCTCGATATTCTTAATTTGTATTTCATCACCAAAGTCATATTGTATACTTCCTGTGGTGTCCTTTTTCAAACAACCTTCAGCAAGAAAATTTGGCAACACTGCATCATGAGTCCAAACTGTGAATAAGTATTTGATTTGACAGTTTATTAGTTTTGTAACTTTTATAAGTGCAGATTTTGGTGGCATCCAAAATTTGGGATGTTTTTGTTGCTTTCCTGGTGGTTTACTCGACATTTGACGAATAGCTTCAAAACTCAATTGTTCGGATTTAATGCTAGCTGTAGCATACAACCTTTTGACTATTTCAAAGTACACCTCCTCATTAAGTGCAGCAGAAATTGGTTGCATTGAACCTGGATCATTGTTGAATGCAACCAATTTTTAAAGAGCTTCTGGTGTTTCAAAGATTGCAGATATCCATTTCTCGTGGGAAATGCCTTGAAATTTTGGACGAAAATCATTTCCACCAATGCATAGTGCAATCACTAGCGTTAAGACATACTGTCGTCCAAATCGTGCCTCTAGAATCTCTAGGATAGTAGTTATGCAGTACAGTTCAGATTTTTGTTTCTGAAGATAAACATAAACTTTGTTTCTGAATGAACCGTCACTTCGTCTCGTCCAGTGAATGGACAATGCAAATAAATGAATTATAAGACTGTCAACATCTGCTGATGTTACGATGCTGACAACTGCTTCATTTTCTTTTAAATTTTCGTTCATATCAGACAACCAATCAACCTGTGCCATTTCTGCTTCTCCTTTTCTTTGTTTAATATGGTTTAACATTTCATGTCTTATGAAGCCTGATTTTGAAAAGTATGCTCGTACAGGAGTTGTGTGTAAATTGTATGGACAAGAGCATTCATCAATCTTGTGTTTAGTACAAGTTTCTAGGAATAATTCACTATCTATATCCAAAACAACATCTTTTGTAATGTTCAGGTTCTTAACATTTCGGGCAAGATAGTTACTTATTAGCCTTTTTCCAAGATCTGTTTGTATAACAGCTGACTTTGAAAGCTTAAGCTTAGCAACGTATTAAATATCCGGTGTATGGTCCATAATCTATCACAATCTGTGAAACGTGGAGGCCGCTGAAGATCCTCGCCACGTAAACTAGAGGCTCTAAAGAGCCTGTGTCGCTCACCTTGGTCTATGTGCATATTAAACAATGGACACAGATGGATTCATGACAAAATTGTGTTTTGGTGATGGTGATGTGTTTGTAGATCTTACTTTACTGAACATTCTTGCTCCTTACTATTATCTCTATCTATAATGAACTTGGCCCAGTAGTTACAGTGGAAAATATTTTGTAAAAATTTACAAAAATTTACAAAATTTATGAAAATTGTAAAAAATTGACTATAAAGGGCAATAACTCCTTAAGGGGTCAATTGACAATTTTGGTCATGTTGACTTATTTGTAGATCTAACTTTGTTGTACATTATTGCTGTTTACAGTTTATCTCTATCTATAATAATATTCAAGATAATAACCAAAAGCTGCAAAATTTTCTTAAAATTACCAATTCAGGGGCAGCAACCCAACAACATGTTGCCTGATTGGTCTGAAAATTTCAGGGCAGATATATCTTGACCTAATGAACAATTTTATACCATCAGATTTGCTCTAAATGCTTTGGTTTCAGAGATATGAGCCAAAAACTGCATTTTACCCTATGTATTATTTTTTGCCATGTCGGCCATCTTGGTTTGCGGGCAGGGTCATCGGACACATTTTTTAAACTGGATACCCTAATGATGATTGTGGACAATTTTGGTTAAATTTGTCTTAGTAGTTTCAGAGGAGAAGATTTTTGTAAAAGATTACAAAAATTTACGAAAAATGGTTAAAAATTGACTATAAAGGGCAATAACTCCTTAAGGGGTCAACTGACCATTTTGGTCAAGTTGACTTATTTGTAGATCATACTTTGCTGAACATTATTGCTGTTTACAGTTTATCTCTATCTATAATAATATTCAAGATAATAACCAAAAACGGCAAAATTTCCTTAAAATTACCAATTCAGGGGCAGCAACCCAACAACGGGTTGTCCGATTCATCTGAAAATTTCAGGGCTGATAGATCTTGACCTGATAAACAATTTTACCCCATGTCAGATTTGCTCTAAATGCTTTGGTTTCAGAGATATAAGCCAAAATCTACATTTTACCCCTATGTTCTATTTTTAGCCATGGCGGCCATCTTGGTTGGTTGGCGGGGTCATCGGACACATTTTTTAAACTAGATACCCCAATGATGATTGTGGCCAAGTTTGGTCAAATTTGGCCCAGTAGTTTCAGAGGAGAAGATTTTTGTAAAAGTTTACGGACGACGGACGACGGACGCAAAGTGATGAGAAAAGCTCACTTGACCTTTCAGGTCAGGTGAGCTAAAAATAAGAGGTGAAACACCATAAAAAATCCCGTCATCATATAAAACATCAATATAAATAAAAACAATGTCAACAATATGTATTCCATGATCTTTTCAAAACATATTATCAATGCTAATTAGCATACATATATATGGAAAGCAAAACAAATACTTTTAAAATAACCAGTGCATATGAGCATATTAATATAGAAAATATATCAATACTTTCTGCTTGGGTGGGTTTGGATGACTTTAAATTAAACATGTATGAACGAAGCCTCGCTCAATTGTCATCCCACTCGTGTATCATAAATTTGGTCCCTAGGTAGAGAGTTTTTAGATCAGTTTTCATCATATGATGCTGAACCGTGGGAATACCTAAACAGCGGTTAAACCTTAAATCACAAGGACCTATATACCGGAAATGCCTACGATTGCAAATGAAACTTAAAATGGCACAAACACATATATCATCACGTAAACATGACAAATTATGATCAGAATCTCGAATACAAAGCAATAAAACATAGTGTTTGGAAATTTTAGCCACAACAATTTTAAAAGTTGAAACAAAATGTACAGAAGTTTTAAGTTTAAAAAAGAATAGAAAAGAGCAAGCTAGTAAGAAAGACCCTGATTGCTTGGATTTAGCGGGAGACAAAGATATATCAGAAATCAAATATAGCCCAGAAAAAACTATGACAGAAACAGAGGGAGAAAATCTTACTCAATTGGATTTGAAGAACACTTCACTAAGTTTGAACTTTAGATCTGGCAAACAGGTAGATATTAAAAGTGGGAAAAGTCAAAAAGATGAAACAACATCACTATTAAGTGAAATAGAGGAAAAATTCGGAAAGAGGCACCATATAGCCACGTTAGCTTATACTCTAGAATCAGCAAAAGAAAGACATGTGATACCTAAGTATGTGAACACCAATCTGGAATTTTTTCCATTTTTCGTATCAAATTCGGCTAAAGATTATTTCCAGGAGAAGCTTAGGACAATAAGAGCAAAAGTTAATCAATATGCATTGGATGAATTCATCAAAACATCAGAAGAACTTATAACAATTTTTACCAGCAAAGCAGAGTACGTTTAAGGAAAACTTATTGAGAACTTAAATGACAGTACAGAAGAAGGTAGACAAAAACTATCAGAGGCTCAAGGCCATATCTTAAATCTTATTGAAATATGGGACACAAAATACAATGACTACATAAAAGACTACGACAAAAAGATCAGTGGTCCAAAAGAACCAGCAAAGAAAACCTTTATTGCAAAAGGCAAGAGAGACGGGAGAAACTTTCCATACAAAAGAGGAAATTGAACTGAACTTATGTAGTTTAACAAAATTGATTTGAGAAACATAAACGATATCATCTGTGAAACGGTTATTCCATAACGGTCAACCAACTCGTGATGGCGTCCGTAAAATTTACGAAGGGATGATTTTAACTTCACCATTTGGAACTCTTGGTTTAATAGCTTCCTTGTGAGCAGCAACCCTCTATCAAGGGTAATCATGATAGGAAATACAAGCGCGGGAATATCGTATCAATTGGAAGATATATACTCCGTATGCAGGCGCTGCTGGATTGATTGATTGATTGATTGTTAGTTGCTTAACGTCCAGTGGCAAATATTTCATGCATATTCAGGACGAGAACAAGTTAACATTAAATACAATAGGTAGGTTCTGTAATAGATTAAGGGATTAAGGTCGGAGAAATTTAGACTGCCACGGGAAATGAGGGTATATTGGATAGGGACAGACATTTAGCCTTGCAACAGGTCACCTACGGACCCCTCAAAAAGTTGTTGCAAGGGTTCTTAACGTGCAAAGAGCGTGGCACTCTCTTTACACGAGGCATCGGATTTAACGTCCCCATTCTGACCGGACGTGGCTGGAAATTTGTACATCCCGCACAGCCAAACGGACGCCCCACTTTGGCGAGGGTTTTACTGCCGGTCTGAGGAAGAAAAATGGTGACCATACTTCTATTCCCCAGTCACCCTTGGGGTCTACACCTAAGAGGACAAGTACATGAAACATTGTAGAGGTCTACACTAGGGCATTATAAATGATGCAAACACATTGTGAACCGGAGCAGAACCTTCACTTACACTGTTACCATGGTAGCAAGGAAATGATAGACTTGTGGAGACGAGCGATTCCAAACACTTTTTAAAGTTTTCTCTTAAAATTAAAGACTTTCAGTTGGACCAACTCCAAGCAGTAAAACAGGTGCCGAATCACAGATTACTCATGGAAACAGATTTGCCGTATTTCACATCAAATTCGAATTTACGGATTAATAATCCGCGTCGAATAGGTCAAGTTGCCATGATATAAGAAGGCATTAGGAGCCAACCTGTAGCTGAAATATTTGCCATTACTATGGAGAATGGGAAGTCTATGGATAAAGAATGGACTGTGTTTGATATTAGTTCAGCAGCCTGCAGGAGACAGTATTAATCAGAAATGTAAATAGAGCAGATTCATGTGGACATAGAGAATACAGAGAATCAGTTGTAAATTTTGATTGGAAATTACAAAAGTGAAGATTGTTTATAATATATATATATATCAAGGAATGATATGCTAGTTTTAAATTACCTCCGCAGAGCGACAACGGAGCAATTGTGTAATTTTGAAAAATATATGTGTGTTGTTAATATGTCAACATTGGAAAATATATATATATTTGGAGATTTATTTGTTTCCCTGTGATTTTAGGAATTAGGGGCCAAAAAAGGGGCAAAGAACAAGCATTTTTCTAGTTTCATGACAATAACTTGTGTGTAAGTGTACGGATCTTTCTGAAATTGTACTACAAGGTTCCATATCACAAAGGGAAAGCTGGAATTGAGTTTGGGGGTAATTGCCCAAAACGTTTAGGAATAAGGGGCCAAAGAGGGGTTAAAAAACAAGCATTTTTCTAGTTTCCAGAAAATAACTTGTGTTCAAGTGTATGGATCTC